CCGGACTAAGGATGGCATTGCACGTAGGTCACCCAAGTCTTGGTGGTCCGATGAACTCCAGGCTGCCGTGGATGCTCGCAGCGGGCTCTTCGACGGTTTCAGAGGAAATCGGACCGTTATACCAAGGCAGAATACTTAGCGGTCAAGGCCTCTACAGCTGCTCTGTTGCGTGAATCACAAACTAAGCACTGGCAGGAGTTCTGCTCTAAATGAGAAGACCTAAGATCTGTCTGGGGTAAAATAGACTCAATGCTTGGTAAAAAATCTAATTCTTCCATTCCAACTCTTTGTTACAGGGATTCCACAGAATACAGCAATGAAGGAAAAGCCAATTTGTTAGCCAAGTGTTATGCTGACGGCAGTGCTAATACCAACCATACCAAAGAATTTCTAAAGAACAAGAAGACCTTCTACACCAACCACACTCCAATTCATCATTCGCCCTTAGAGGATGAACGGGATCTTAACGCTCCCTTCACCCTCGACGAGCTGAAGAAAGCACTGTACAGTAAGAAAGACAGCGCTACTGGTGAAGATAATATCAAGTACAGCACGTTAAAGGAGTTACCAATGGAAGAGTCTACAGTTCTACTAGAATTATTCAACAAATCATGGTATAATGGTACAATTCCGGAAAGTTGGAAAACGGCAATGGTCATTCCTCTTCCAAAAACCGCAGAAAGATAAAAGTCTATGCAGTTCATACAGGCCTATTTCTCTGACCTCGACTCTATGTAAAACATTTGAAACGATGGTCAATAATAGACTTAGATACCACTGGGAACTAAATGGTCTTATCGATCCCAACCAAAGCGGCTACAGAGAGAAACGGTCAACAATGGATCAAATCGTTCGACTTCAACACGACATGGCCGCCCAACTCGGAAAGAAGAACTACTTCAGTGCAGTATTCCTGGATCTGTTCAAGGCCTTTGACTTCGTCTGGGTTGATGGTTTGCTTTTTAAACTTAATAAACTTGGCATTCGGGGTCGCATGTTCAGGTGGATCCAAGACTTCTTAAGGGATCGCCAGATACAAGTAAACGTCGCCAATTCTCTCAGCGAGAAGCACTCGTTGGAGAATGGCACCCCGCAAGGCTCTGTTATTAGCCCTACCCTCTTCAGCATTATGATCAATGATCTGGCCCTGGATTATGTAAAGCATATAGAGCTCTCGGTTAGCACGGCTCTATATGCAGATGACAGTTCGATATGGACTGGTCACAATGACCTCAACAAAGTTAAATGGCGTAGGCAAACTGCTCTGAACCAAGTTGCTAAATGGGCAACCGACTGGGGCTTCATTATTTCGGAAGCTAAAACCGTCGGTTTGTTCTGCAGCAGAAAGAAAGATCACGACAGTATTGACCTTAGACTGAATGGTGTGAAGATTAAGCATGAGAATTCAGTAAGGTTCCTAGGAGTACACTTTGACAAGTGTCTGACTTGGAGTACGCACATTGACTATATCTGTAACCGGTCTACAAAAATCTTAAATGTTATGCGTTATGTTTCAGGTACCACATGGGGAGCAAACAGAGAAACTCTAATGATGATGAACAGGTCACTGGTTCGTCCAGTTATTGATTATGGTTGTATTGCCTATGGTAAAGCAAGTGATACTCAACTGAAGAAACTCGACGTTCTACACATGAAAGCTATACATAGAAGAATGAGGCGCTACTTCAGGAGGTGGGAGAGAAACCCCTCTCTCTTCGGAGGGAGGAGCTATCTCTCAAATTCTGGGGGAAACTTCAGTATTTGTCCGAAAGCTGTCCAACGTATTCCAGCCTCAGAAGATTTACTCGTGTCGGAAATAACCAGAAGAATCGGAGTATTTCTTACGGGCAAGCGGTCACTGATCTATTGAGAGAGCATCAGCTCGATCAAGTAACGATTCTTGAACGACGCCTTTCGGCTACTCCGTTTTGGAAGGTTACCAACCCGACAGTCAACACCCAGCTGATCCAGAGTACCAACAAGCACGAGAACCCAGTGGGAGCAAGAGCTCGCGCTCTTGATCTCATTGATTCCGTGTACGCCGACCATTTGAAGATCTACACCAATGGTTCCAAGAGTAGTACCGCAACAGGTTACGGTTTGTGCATCCCAGCAAAAGGCATCCGCATCAGTAAAAGGATCCCCCGCACTGTTCAGTGTTCACAGCAGAACTTTTTGCCATCAGGGACGCGGTAGCATGGCTGTGCGTCAATCACACGGAGCATGCCGCGATTCTATCCGACTCGCTAAGCATCCTCCAATCTATTTTTCTCACCTCTTCTAATTTCAGGTCAGAGGTTATTTCCGAAATAAGAAGAATGATCCACAACTACCAAACCAACAACGACCAGAAGATTGAACTAGTATGGGTTCCATCGCACGTCTCCATTCCTGGCAATGATCAAGCAGACCGTTGTGCCAAGGAAAGTCTGAGTCTGGAGGAAATCGAGCCTGTAGAATACTCCTATTCGGAGTTCTGCAGTATCGTATCTTCTAGGATCAACCAGAAATGGTCCGACATGTTACGGAACCTCGACACCGCAAGATACCAGATTGATCCGAAGATACCAAACCAAACCAAACCAAACCAAACCAAACCAAACCAAACCAAACCATCCATCTGTAGCCATCTGCAAAGTGGCAACCAGACTCCGGACCAACAACGTATTACGAGACCATCAGTTCAATGCCATTAAATGTCGCTGCGGCCACGTTGCCACAAGGTCGCATGTCCTCATTCAATGCACTGAACTGAAACCCGCTCGTAAGCCACTGCTAGAGTACCTGGAAATCAACGGCATACCACTCACCATACAGAATGTTTTGACTCCACCCACGGACCACTGGTATATGATAATGGAACTAGTCTTCCATTTGATAACCAAATCTGTCTTGAACAGATAGGCTAAGTTTTTATACTCAAGGTTTCTTAACACTTTTTAATTATATCCAATCAATTTAACAAGTTTCATTGCAGAAACATTAGAGAACATCTCTCCCCCTTTTGTGAAAGCTCCCCCCCCCCCCTCTTTCCTCCCTCTTTTCTCATTTTCTTTTTTTTTCTTTTTTTTTTAGGTCTTCGAGTTTTCCAACAGATAATCTAATCAAACCAAACCAACGACTACCATTCGACTACCAATCAACAAGAAATACCATGATCAGAACGAGTTTGGAAGAATGAAGGAGACCGAGTAACTCACGCCACACCATCCAGGGCCGAGTTTCACCGCCATGTCATTCGACCCGACCAGATCTAACGAAGAATCAACAACCAAACCAACAACACCGAATCATCCAATTTGATCCAATCCAACTACCAACTACTACGACTACCAACAACTACCTAGTTTGCGATATCAGCATCCGCTGGAAGCGAACGCTAACTTGTCATCTACCTACCTACCGCATTGTGTAAGCATATAATTATTATGTCAATTGTATTGCGTTAGGATAAGGGTTTGTTAAAAGGATCTCGTATCAAGATTCGAAAAATATGGAACGCTTCACGAATTTGCGTGTCATCCTTGCGCAGGGGCCATGCTAATCTTCTCTGTATCGTTCCAATTTTAGTTTTTTTTTTCTTATAAAATATTTATTCACATAGCAAATATTTACATTATCATGAAATATATTAAATATTACATGTATCACACAAATATACCGATGTATAAAAATAGAAACATTAACAGGTTTATTACTGGTACAAAGGTTTACATGTGTAAAAACATCTTTTTGTGTATTATTTTATGATTAATTTGTATGTACAATTTAAAAGGATAAAAAGAAAACTAGCAAAAAGACCTGTAGTATTAATGTAGCCTATAGCCTCAATGCATTGATAGAGAGTAACTGTATCAAGGGTCACTATCACAACATAACGGTAATGACTGTGTAAACAGTTTTAACAAGAGTCTTGACTATCCGCACTAGCTGAGTAAAATACACGTGACTCTACTAATAATAATAATAATTTATTTATTTAAGTGTCACCGTCCATATATACAGAGAATAACAACAATAAAATAATTACAGCATTATAAAATGGACGCCAGCCGGATTCGACTTATGAGACACCTTAGAATTATATCATAAAACTACATTCAATGGGACAGGTAAAAACACAAATATACAAGTAAAATAAACATTATGATAAATAAAAAGGCTCAGGGTATCACAGTCTGTTTTCTACGTTCAAACATTTTAAAAATACATGCGGCAAAATATGGTAAATTCGTTCGTTTGTCATTAAAAAACACAATTTATTTACATTATTATAAAATAAAAAATCTGGATTAATAAAACAGGCTTCGGTACATAAAACTTTTCTTATATCAGTGTATAATTTACAGTTAAAAATAAAATGCTCCTCATTTTCAATTTCCCCATTATCACATAAAAGACACTTCCTTAAGCATCAATACATACAGTGTCACTTTGATCATTTAATACATGTAGTTCTAGACCGATACTTAATTCTCGGTGATCTCAGGAAGACTTACGTCTACTGGCCCATTTATGTACAGTTTTACAAAGAATATTATCGTTGAGTTTAAGTCTATTCCAATATCTAAACAATTCAATCTTAACTAAATTATCACCCTTCAGCCATCCCATGTCCCCCATTGCTGCCAAATTACTACTTCTTTTGCTCAAACCAATGAAGAATTTGCATGCGTTACAGTTATGTGTATTAATACCCCAAATACCAGATGCATAAGTAAATACAGGCCTGACAAGCGAGTCATATAATTTTGTGTAAACATCGTAGCTAAATCCACCAAACTGTATCGATTTAGTTTTAATCACAGCCGAGGCCTTATTAGCCGATTTTGATAACTCTTTAGCGCTGTATGAATAGTCACAGAATTCGTTCACCCACAGGCCTAGGTATTTATATGCATCTGCGTATTTAACATTTAATTCACCACTATGGAACTTAAAGTTACTTCTAACTATACCAGAGTTTCTAAAATGTACAATTTTTGTTTTAGACTCATTCACGACAAACCTCCATTTATTACACCAATTATTTAGGGTATTCAATAGAATTTGTAGTTTTTGTTCATCTGGGGCCAGAAGAACAATATCGTCAGCATATAGCAATACCGAAATTAATGTGCCATCAATATCAATTCCACAGTTCGCTTCATTTAAATCTTTAACTAGATCGTTAACATATATTGAAAATAATGATGGTGACAATACACAACCCTGTTTAACCCCTTG